TACAAATGTCGCATTTTTTTTCAGATTAGCATACAATTTCTCATTACGCAACACACTCAAAACAACTTGCACAATGCTTCATACTTCATATCAAAAAATATTTCAAACTAATACACTAAACAAAAAGAATTTTTTTAGAGCATAGTTTTTAAAAATAATTTAACACATATTTTAAATTAAAGGAAAAATTATACAAAACTCACATGTGGTTTCATGAAATTGCGCAAAATCCCACATACTTTCAAAATTGCGTCAAACTTCCTCATGGTTTCATAAATTTATGTGTCTAATCCCTAGGTTGTCTTTATTTAACGGTGTGTTGACCCGCACGTGCTCAAATTGCGAATGAGTTTCAGAATCTCTACTTTTAAACTCTTAAAATTACAAATATATTAATTCCTCTTATATTCGGTCTCAAGAAACACTAATTTTTTTTTTTCTCAAAACTACCATAAAACAACTATTTTAGGTATATTTTTATTGTTCCTTAAAGGTAAATATAAGAAAAATTATATTTGTAATTTCAAAAGTTTAGAAATAGAAATTATGAGACTCATTCGCATTTTGAACATGTATAAGTCAAATACCGTTAAATAAGGATGACCGATGGTGTTAGACGCAGAGTTTATGAAATCATGAGAAAGTTTGACACAATTTTGAAAACATTAGAGATTTAGCGCAATTTCGTGAAACCACATGTGAATTTTGTGCAATTTTGACTAAATTAAAACTTAGTTTGTTTAGTGTTCATATTTTATTTATTTATTCCTTTAATGTTCATTAAGTGTTTTGTCATGAGGTTCTCATGGAAAATCATAAAAGTATTATAATAATTGATGTTTTATATATTATTGTTAGCTAGATTCGTAAAAGAGGAGAGGAACCTTGACTTTCTATCAACTTAGTCAAGCGCGCTAGTTGCAATCAAACTTAGGACCAACCCTCGACTAGGTCACGGCACATGAGAAACTAACCCCATCAAACCTATGCTACTTCGTCCTGGTAATCTGTCACCACTTTTATTGTATGTGTAAATATTATATATTATGCATTGTATTGTTTAGTAATATTTAGTAATATTGTATATATTTAAATATTAAGTCATACACTATTAGTAATTTATACCATTTCAAAATTTATTCTATTGTAGATTCGGTCGGAGTTTTACTCAGTGCATTTTCGAGTAGCGGCTGCGGGTTCTCACATTATTAAAAAGAAAAAAAAAATTGTTCCATTGAGCACAACTTCATTTTGCATTCAAAATCTAAAATATATAGTTGTTGGGTTTAATTTATAAACTATTAAATTCAATTAAAAATTTATTCAAAACGCATTAAAAAAATAGCAGCTACAAATTCAGATATTATAAAAGAAAATCTAAATATATCTAGAATCCAAATCCAATTTCAAAACGTATCAAGCACGTGCTTCGTATTCTTATTTTTTACCATATTTTTTCTATTTGCTTAAAAATCTCATGGTTTATTTATATAGTTATCTTTTTGTTCCTTTAGTTTTAATTTTTTTATTTATTCAAAAATAGATTAAATATACTAATATTTTATAAAAAAAAAATTGTGAATATGACATAATAAATAAAATTAAAAAAAAATATTCATATTTAAACAAATATTTCATTGAATAAAAGATATTTGTGAAGGTAATAATGAAGTCCACCTAAAAATCTAAACTATTTGTCTTTCTTTTTCTAAGCATTGATCAATATAATTATATTTTCAACACGACTTGTTACGAAAGATCAATACGCAATATATCTACCGTGACTCGTCAAACTTACGAGAGATCAAATCACAATGCATTTATTCGTATGTGGCTATCCGTAGGACATAATATAGGGTCTGTTTCTCCAGCCCAGCTTTGGGCTGGATCACTGTGCAAACACTATAATTTAATATAAAGTTTTTTTTTTTAAAAAAAAATTATAAATATAAAAAAATTTATAATTATTATAATTTAATAAACTATATACAATATATATATCATTTTGTAGAGAATAAATTTTTTTTATAATACAAATAAATAAAAATTTTAAAAAATATATAAATAAAATATAAATTTATAATTAAATTATACAAATTACTATACATTTATATTATTATATTCATACCAATCAAATCAATACACATCAATACTCGTCAAACTCCAACTAAATCCAAACCCAAACAAAAAAAAAACATCAAAATTCAAACTCATCTCAAAATTCAAATAAAAATCATACTCAAACCAAATTTTCCCAAAATCTCCTAAAGAAACACACCCATAATGTTTGCCCTAGGACATGATGGGTAGACGAGCCCCACCCCTCTATTTCATTGCAACACATACCACAAATATCAAACGATCGCATCGCCACAATAAGTGATGGACAAACATGTGTTTACTTTTTATTGTCGATTCTAATTTGTTTGATTTTAGTTTCAATTTGAGTTTTTTTTTTTTTTTTTTTTTTTTTTTTTTCATTAAGGTTTAATTTAAATAAATATTTTAATGTAATGAGAAATAATAATATACTTTTGTTGGAAACCGACTAAATAATACTCCCTTCATTCCATATCTATGTCCGTATATTTTTTGCACGGAGTTTTATAAATATTAATATTATATTGAGATGTAGTTGAAATGATTAAAATAATCTTTTTAGTATTGTATGATGTAAATATTAGTTGTAAAGGTATTTGTAATGCTAAGTAGATAGTACAATTACTAAAGAAATAGAGTATATACACTCATCATTGTTTGATACATCCATCCCTTCAAACCTCAATAATAATGTCTATAGGTATTTTTTCTTTTTGGAAATTTTAATTAAGTAATAGTTTGATTTAGTAATATTTTGTAAAAGAACATTTGTATTAAAAATATGATGGGCCTCAAAAAAATTTCAAAATAAATCGACATGTATTATTTGTTGTTATTGTTTTAAATTTATATACAATTTATTTATAATAAATAATTTATCAACCCGTAACTTTATATCATTGCTTTAACAACTAATAATTAATTTGTTATTATTATTAATTTTTATTTACCCTATTATTTTTTTATCAATCATTAATACATTTTTTTACTGTACTCACTTTATTTTTTACATACACTATTTTAATATTAAAATATTATTTCTTTCATCTCATTTAATTTGTCAACTTTTTTACTTTTGTTTATTCTACATAATTTGTCTTTTATTTTTTAACAATATAATTATACACTTAAATTACATTTTATAATTTATATTTATAATTTTTTAGTTTAATTAAACTATTTAGTCATTTTAATCTTAATCTATAATTATTTTTATTAAATTATAATTATTTTTACTATTATACTTCGTAATTACTTACATATTATCAAATACTTAAAACTCAGTGTCTAACCTAAAGTGAACAATTAAGTGGGACAAAGGGAGTATCATATTTTAATCACCGTATCCAACTAAATCTATATAATTTTATAGGACCAACGGATTATTTTTTTCTCAAATTTATTATTAATTTTTTATTTTTTATATTACACTAATATATTTTATATCTAAAATATTATAATAATAAATATTTATATATAATTGTTCGACTTCAAATATTTATTATACAAAACTACAAATCCAACCCCAAATTCACATACAAACATGCTCTCATAACGCATGAGATTTTTATAAGCAATTATTTAAGTAGAAGAAGGCCAGAAAGTATCTAGTGCGAAATGGGCCGTGTTTTGATATTTTGAAATATTTTAAATTTAATGTTTTGTTTGAATAAAAGATAATACTATTATATTTAAAAATAAAATAATTATATTTTTTTTTACAGAATAAATGTTTTATTTGAATTATATATTTCCTCAGTCTTGCAATCGATGATTTTTTTATTTATTTTATTTGTTTCATAAAAAATTATTTATTTATATTTTTAATAAATTTATTCATTTTAAATATATTTAATAAATATAAATTAATTTAATTATTTTTAACTTGTTACACGTAGCCCACTCAAAATCTATTTATTTTTATATATCTCCTCTATAAATAAATATTTTTATCTATATTTAAAATTTCTTATTTTTTATAAAATTAGTTCTAAGTTAATTATAAATAAGTAAATGTATAGTTTTATTTATTTGTATTATATAAAATTTTATTATCTACAAAATGATATTCATATTGCATATATTTATTGATATGTAATTCTAAAAATATTTAGGGTGTGTTTGTTTGAAGATTTGGATTTTGAGTTGAGATTTGAATACTAAAAATTTTGAATTTGAATAGTTGTATAATGTGATATAATTAAGTGTTGATGTGATATATTGAATGTAAAATTAATTTTTAGTATAATATAAAAAATAAAAAAAATATGTGTGTGATTTGATATTTTTGAAAAAAAAATTAGATGAATAATATATTTGGCGAAAAATCCCAAAAAATACCTACAACACTACTCATATAAATAATAATAAAATAATATAATATTTTATTACTCCCTCCGTCTCAGATACCATGTCCGCATTGCCGTTTCTATCCGTCCCACATGCCATGTCACTTTATTTTTTGAAAAATGATTACACACTTTAATCTCATTTTAAATTTTTTAATTTTATTTATTTTTAATTTTAATTAAACTAATTAATTATCTTTATCTTAATTTATAATTATTTATATTATAGGATAATTATTATCACTGATACATTTTTAATTATCTACTAATTATACCCCTCTTAAAATATCGTGTCTACAATGCAGCAAAGTCTAAAATACCGTGTTTTTTAAAAAAAGTTTCATTTCTCTACTGACACGTGGCAGTTCCTTATTCGGGCTGCTAGTCTGCTATCAAGCAGCAGCAAGACGTCAATGTAATCCATTTCCAACTTGCTTATCGTGCGGCCAGTAACGACGCATCCCATCCTACAAATCGAATCGAACGGATACTATTTATCTTCGCTGGTACAACATGCTCGAGATTTACTCTGCCCCTCTTTTAAGTACCAGCAGCCAGCAGGCGTCGGCACTGAAAACACAGCAGCGAGCGAGCAAGGGTTTCATCTCGCGCCTCAAATTCAATCGTCAATCCCAAACGACGTCGTATGGGGCTTCTCGACCACCTCTGGGACGATACTCTAGCAGGCCCCCGCCCCGACACCGGCCTCGGAAAACTCCGGAAACATGCCACTTTCAGCGTCCGATCAGATTCCGGCAAAGGTACGCCGCCGGAAGTGTTTTAACGATTCGATCAAATCGATCTCGCTGCTTAGCTACATCTAATTTATCTAAAGTGATCATTGACTGATGCTATTATTATTTAATCGATAAACAATTAAAAGCAAAATTGGACTCGATCTCAAGTCAATAGAAGTGTTGCGGAAATATGTCTAGATATTAGGTCGAATTCTGTTGAGCGGATTGCGTGATTTTGATGATTCTGATTTTGAATTTGATTTCGTCGCTTGCTCTCTGCACAACCAGAAATTTTGAGCAGCATCAGTCGATCTTACGGAGGAGAGGCTGCAGAGGATGCAGCGAAAGTGACGAGGAGCATAATGATGGTGAAGCCGCCGGTTTCAGATCAGAAGGAATCGCCGCCGGTCTCTCCAGCCAGCGGAACACCTCCGATCTCCCCTTTCTCCGGTAAGTGCCCCGCGAACACATATTTTATCGGTACCGTAAGTTTTGAAAGTTTACGTTGTGTTTGTTTGCGGAATTCAATTTTTTTTTACTATTTCGTTGTATTTTAGTAAAAATACAAAAAATAAAAAAATTGCATTAAATACTATATATTTTATTTATTATGTAAAATTCTTTTGTATTAATATAATATTTGATTCTAAATAAAAACTTCAATTACTCAAATTTTATACAAATAAAAATTATTTATTTTTACATATTTTATAAAATTATATAATAATTTGTCTCTACAAAGATTAATCAATTATTTATTTATTTTATTCATAAAAAATTATTTAAAATATTTTGCATTTTTATTTGTATAAAACTTACATAATTTAAAAATTTATTTAGAGTCAAATATCAAATTTTGGTCGATAAGAATGTTTCGTGGAAATTTTACTTTCACACAATAAATAAAATAAAAAATAATTTATACATTTTTACTAAACCATGACATTTTATATAATTTATCCTATATATAAATATTTTCTTATATCATATCAAACTAATTTAATTTTTTTTATTCATTCCACTTCAAAATTTGTGTTCAAAGTCGTTTGTCACGTATTTTAACTTGCGATTTTGATTGATATATTTTTTTATGAAATTTTTTCTATATAATAAAAATATAAGTATATAATATAATGATTATACTTACTAAATAAGAAAATAAAGATATTTTTAGGGTGTGTTTGTTTGGATGTTTGGATTTTGAGTTGAGATTTGAATACTAAAAATTTTGAATTTGAATAGTTATATGATATGATATAAATAGGTGTTGATGTGATATTTTGAATATAAAATTGATTTTTAGTATAATATAAAAAATAAAAAATAGGTGTTTGATTTGATATTTTTTGGAAGAAAAAAATGGAATGAATAGTAAAAATTAAATCCAATCCCCCAAACAAACACACCCTTAGAAGACAAGTAAAAAGTTAACATAATATTTTGGAGACCGAGTATCATGTTACACTTTGAAATATAATACTTATTATGTCATCAAAATTTATTCTAATTTGATTTGACACGAGTTTAATAAATATAGTTAAAAGTAAAAATTGTTTATTTTAAACTCTTTTCGTCCCTTATCAAAAGGGTATTTGAAGTTTTATAATAGATTAAAAAAATAATAATATTTTATTAATTAATAAAAGTGTAAGAGTTTTTGATATTTTTATTCTTTAATTTTAACTTATGTATAAAGTAATTTATGTGTAATACTATTCTTGTAATTTAGGTATAAATTAAAAATATTTTGATAGTAGTTTATTATTACTTTTTATAGAAAATGTATACTTTGAAATTGAACATACGAAAATGATAAAAATGATATTTTGAATTGAGACGGAGAGAGTAGTAAATAAAAAGTAGAAAATAGTTTTTATACTAAAAAAACCGAAACATTTTTTTGATGACAGATGCACATCAAATAATTATTTAAATTCAAACTTCCAAACAAACGCTTATGTAGAACTTTGAAAAATTTTACTATTGAAAAATTTCCTCCGTCCCGTCACAGATTATTCATTTTTTTTTTGTCCGTCTATAAGAGATGATCCTTTATATTTTTAGTAAATGTATTCATCTTAAACATACTTAACAAATATAAATTAACTTGATCAAATTTCTAACATTTTACATGTATAATCCACTCAAAACGCATGTATTTATATATTTTTTTCTCAATAAACAAATAATTTTTATCTATATATCAAATTTCTATCTCTCTCTTTTTTTTCTTTTTTTTTCTTTTTTTTTATTTTTATAAAACTAGTTCTAGTTAATTATAAATAAATAAATATATTTTTTATTTATTTGTATTATATAAAAATTTATTATTTACAATATCTATTATTTATATTTTGTATATATTTTATTGAAATACAATTTTAAAAATATTTAAAATATCAATAATATTACTCATATAAAAAATAATAAAATAATATTATAACTTATTATTGATAACTTACACACTATCTAAAATATCATATTACTAATTAAAAGAATCATCTGGCCTGGACCGAAGGAGGATGATATTTTTTTAAAAAATAGTTAGTAAGAATTTTTTTTGAAATTATTAGGGTGTGTTGGCAGGGGTTTGGATTTTGAGTTGTGACTTGAATAGTAAAAATTTTGAATTTGAATAGTTGTATGATGTGATATAAATAGGTGTTGATGTAATGTTTTAATCGTAAAATTAATTTTTAGTATAATATAAAAAATAAAAAATAAGTGTTTGATTTGATATTTTCGGAAAAAAATTGAAATGAACAGAGGATTAAACCGAGAATTCTAGTGATCTCTAAGGGTACTCTCGTCATTTCACAGACTATAATTGGCCGAATTTGTAGATACATTGAAACAGAGTACGCGTTACACACCTGCCAGAAATCTAATTTAGCATGCCTATTTCTTTCCTCAATAAGTTTGAGATTAATATTTTAAATAAATATATATTAATACATTTTAATGATTTTTTATTTTTTTCGTGAAAAAACATTCTAACGAGAGATTGAGTGTGTTTGTTTTGTATTTTGGTTTTTTTTTTTTTAAATTTTTTTATACTCCCTCCGTCTCGAAACTAAACATCCATTTGCTTTTTGCATGTAGTTTTAGAAATATTAGTATTATATTGAGATATAGTAGGAATAAAGTAGAAATAACTAAAATAACCTTATTAGTATGTGTGATATAAAGGTAATGATATTTGTGTAATATATTGTAAGTTGTAAGGGTATTTGTAACGTTAGGTAGAAATTACAGTTACTAAAAAAAGAAAATAGATATTTTGTTATGAGACGGACTAAAATGAAAAAATAGATACTTTGTTATGGGACGAAGGGAGTATAAAATATAGAAAATTATGTAGATAATATAAAAATAACGAGTGTATAATATATTAATTTTTTTGAAAAAACGTATTTAAATTTTTTTAAGAAAATAAACAAACACTGAAATTATGAGTATTCATTCCATATAATATATTGATGTTACTTTCAAAATTGGCTGTGGTTAAAATAATGACTGAATTAAATTAACACTGTGATGATTTGATCAAAATTAAAATACTAACATAAACAATTAGCATTTCACCATATGGCCAAAGTTAGCACTAAAACAGTTAGCATTTTATCAGAGTAACATATACCATATTATGTATTATATAGAAACATGTATTGTGTAAGTTATATATTGTATTATGATGTATAATCTGTTTATTGTGCTATTATGTTGAAATCATAATATATTGTAATATATATAATTATATAATATGCTATTTAAATATATATTATATATTATACAAATATATACTATTTTTTTAAAAAAAACTGCTGATTGAAGCAACAAAAATGTTACATGTAATTATATAATATGTTATAAAAAATACATATTACATGTTATATTAATATATAATATTTTCTTTATAATAATGTGTTGACAATCATCACAATAGCAAAGTGCCAAAATGATGTCAAGTTTGTTTACTTTTCATAATTATCTTATCTTATCATTACTTTTTTAAAAAATATACTCCCACCGTTCCAATATAATAGTCTTGTCTACCATTCTTATCCTGTTTAAAATAATAGTCTCATTTTTATCAATAACCATATCACCATAAAACTATCTCTACTTTTTTATTATTATTACACAATTGTCGCTACTTTTTATACTAATATACTCACAAGGGCAAAAAAGTCATTTATCCTTACTTTTTACCGAGTACCAATATAATATCAATATTTCTTAAATCCCTTGTCCAACACAATAAGACTATAGAGTATTTATTATCCAAAATATCATATTCTAGAAGTGTGTAGATTCAATAATTGACACGTCTTTGTCGATCTTCTTGACTATGCTCTTCGTGTATACGTATACGGCTAAGTCATTTGTTCTAATGAATAAAAGAGATGATAAGATAGAGACGTGTCCCAAAACCTTCATTGTTACCTAATTATCCTATACCTAAGCACAATTATTTGCTACTATTATTATTCTAAATAACATTAAAATGAAATGCAGGATCTGGAAAAGAAGCATTCTGGTTTAGGAAGAGATCGACATCATTTGCATTTGAGAAATCTAGTGGAGTTGGACCCAGGAGCCCTCCACCGCTTTACGATCTCTAGGGTGTGTTTGTTTCGAGTTTGAATTTTGAATAGTAAAATATTTGAATTTGAATAGTTGTATGATGTGATATAAATATGTATTGACATGTAAAATTGATTTTCAGTATAATACAAAAAATAAAAAATAGGTGTTTGATTTGATGGTTTTTGGGAAAAAACTTTGTGTGAATAGTATAAATCGACACACATCCTTCGAACAACCTTAGTAAATTTTTGTTGCTGTTATGGGTTTTTCTTTTTTCTTTTTTAAGAAAAAAAAAAAAAAAACATATGTGAAGAGATTATTCTATCGAATTCGAGGTCATGTTAAATACATAATGTCTGGCTGGTAGGTAAAAATCAGTTTATGTGGTTGTAATTTGTATTTGCAATAATTGTGTCTTTAGTAGTCGGGTAAAAAAAACCAAATAAAGATGTATTAATAGCGCATTAATATTTGTAAAAATTGTGTATTAATCCCTCCATCCCATCTAATATGGGTGTATTACTATATGGGTGTATTAATGAGTAAGTAATTAAGAAGTGTATTAGTAAAATTAATTATTATTTAGTAAAAATAATTATAAATTAAGATTAAGATAAGTAAATAGTTTAATTAAAATTAAAAAAATTATAAAATTTAAAATTTAAAATGCAATTAAAATGCATAATTATATTTCCAAAAATAGAAAAGACAAGTTATGTGAGACGGACGAAAATAGAAAATAGGAACAAATTATGTGAGACGGAGGGAGTAATTATTACAGCATAATTAATAACAATGCCTTTTATGGTGTGTCTTAATTTGTGTTTGTGTAATAAATAATGTATGGTATGTTTCTTTCCTCAATTTTTCCCAAATTTTACTATTTGGACTCTGTATTCTCTGAAAAAAAAATACATTTTTTTCTTTTACAAAATATCCCATCAAACATTATTTTCATACCAAACTTAATCAATTATTTTTTCCAAACTTATCAGAAATACACCGTAATGCTATGTTCAAATAGTGTTTGTGAATATATATATTTTTAATTCACTGTTGAGTATGTTATTTTGTAATTTTGTTATCACAAAAAAATAGATAAATAATAAAAAAGGATGGGACGTCGGGATTTTAGAAAATCAAGAATCAAGATATTAGATAAGAATTAATTGAAATCATATTTGGAAAAAACCAAAGTAGGGGTGATGGATGCCGGACTGCTGGTAGAGGCAATCAACTTCCGATTGCAGATGGTGTTTAGACAGATGTAGAAGTTTGATTGATACAGAGGTCGTCACGATTAATGCAGAAGCTATCCAGACCAAAGTCGTCCGAACAGATACAAAAATTATCTGAACTAATGCAGAAATCACCTGGATTAATGCAAAAGTCATCCGGAGTGTTGCGCGAGTTTTCTGACTAGTGCTAAAGTTGTTAGATGATTTGCAAAAAGTTGGATGTCTTTTTTTTTTTTTTTTTTTTCTGAGAAGATAGAGGCTGACCAGATATATTTGGGATGGTTCGGCCGTCGAATGTATTTTCTAGAAGATGGGGCGATGTTAGATATATTTTGGATAGTTGAGGCGCTGGTAGATGTATTTTCCAGAAGAAGAGGCGCAACCAGATTTATTTTAATAGTCTAGGATTGTAAAATTTATTTTCCAAAAGGCGAGCGCTATTAGGTGTAATGTTCAGATGTATTTTCGTGTTTTGAAGAATATGCCTATAAGATATAATATATTTCAGAAGTTTTGAGCGTATTTATATATATATATATTTAAAGAGGTCTAGGTGTGTATTACAAAAGAAGAGACGCCCCTAATCCCGATTATTTATTTTTATCGGATCTAATTTAGGAAGTTGAATGATTATTTTTCATTAAAAAGTTTTTCTCGTCATGTTTTTAGTAGAACATAACGTGGCATTGATTCATAAGATAACATTTAGATCCTAATGTATTCATGGTAAAATCGCGTATTTCAAAATCTCAATTAAAATTATTATTTCTTTTATTTTTCTGTAATTTAGTTAATTTTTGTACTTTTTTCTTCTTCATTAACTTTTTATTATCAATCATATGAATTAAGGATTCAATCATTCTAATTCCAAAAAAAAAAAAAAAAAAAGCCGCCATTGGTTATCATTTGGTTGAAAATTTTCAACTCACAATAACAAATTTTAAACTGAAATCAATAATAATTACTCTTTATAGTTTTCAATACAAATGCACTATTTCTTCTCACAAAACATATGAAATCAAAATATTATTTAAATAAAAATTTAAATCAACAATCAATTTCAAACTAATTTAAAACTACAATCAAAGTATTTTTTTTTTACCATTACAATTCCCCATTAAGAAATTTTATACTCCATCTGTTACAATTGAAAGTATCATTTTTATTATATCCTACTCAAAAGGATTCATTTGTTAATATAGTAAACGTAATACACACTAATACAAAAAATATATTTAATTTTTACATAAATGACAAATATATCACCACAAGAAAACAGTTGTATAACCATAAAACTAAATATGTAGAAATTTTAAATATATGCCAAAATGATTTTGTTATAAAATTAACCACAATAAAATGATTAGGGCTAAAAATAGTGTAGTTAATTTGGTTACATAAACTACCATAAAATTTGCAACATAATTTTCTATATAATTATTTATCATATTATTTGTCACAAAATATATTTGCTATGACTTTTATCAGATATAGTTTATATAATAGATTTATAATATTTTGCCACATAAATGTCATGATTTATTGCAATAAATTTTGCCAAAAATAAATAAATAAATAAACAAATCATAAAAAATTTGCTATGCAATTTTCGTTAATAATATCTACAACAAGAAGATTTTGATACAATGTTTAAAGTCTAAAACTACAATATTATAAACATTAATTGAATTAAAAAATAATTTTAAAAATATTAGCAAAAAATTTAAAATTATCGACACAATGTTGAAATCTATTTGGGCCCATAGACAATGGTTGTGGAAGTTGCGCTAAGAAATATGGCAATACCTATGATGTCACCACTATCGATCAGATAAATATTTGCTCTCATTCAATGAGGAAACCGCTAATCGAGGCCATCGTCAGATGAATGGTTTGTGAATTGTAAGGCACCAACAGTTCAAGAGCCAAAGCATAGATCCCACCAAAGGAAAAAAAAAAATGGCGAAAAAAATTCAAAATGAATGCATATTGGAAAAATCATATGGTCACTATAAATTTGGCCGGAGAAGTTGACGAAACATGCTACAATGAGATAAAATTCACGGTAGCAAGAGAATGTGAGCAAGACGCCATGGAAAAAAAAAAGTTCAACTTGATAGTCAAACAGGCAGTTGCGAAAAGAAATGGGCAGTGGCGATAAGATAAGAGCAAATCAAAAATTGCCGTAAGCAAAAAAAGTTTAACTTGATCACCAAAAGTCCAAAATAAGAGTCGGTCGATGCCTTGAGCAATCTTCCAAGCGATCAAGCAAAAAGTAAATTTCAATTGGTGCTCGGTTGTAAAAAACCCAGCTGCTAATCAAAAGGGAGACCAATCAGTTCCAAACTTTTGGCTCAATATGTTGATGCTTTTGAAACACTCGAAAAAATTATGATTCATGTAGACGATGGAGGATTAAAAAAAATTGAAGTTGACAAGAAAGTTGTCAAACAAAAAGTTGACAAGCTATGCTATAAAGAGCTTGGCATAGAGTGCATTCTAACCTTAGCCGGCTTTGAAATAAGGCCGCAAGTTGACCGGTGGAACACCTAAGTGGTTATGTAATGATGACATTGGAGAAGGGAGATGCCAAATGACTTGAACTTTACTTTTCAATACTAACAAAAATTTTGATATTCGTGGCGCAAGATATATTGACGAAAGTAAAAGTTGGCGTTTCAAGAAACTTTGAGACAAATAGGATTTGTACGCAATTTTTTTTTTTTTTTTTTCATTATTGCTTGCAGATAGAAGGTTTGATGTACCATGGCTATGATTATTTCTCCGAGGAAAAGTTCGAGTTAGTTAAACATCTAGTCGAACATCTATTTTCCAATAAAATTGGTAGACCATATAAACAACCGCCCATGAGTGTTTTCTTGTCGCCAACTATAGTGGAGTTCTTTTGGCATATGAAAGGGTTGATTACCAAGTTTTTTGAATGCAATAGAATGTCACAATCTTTCAAATTTATACATTCAATTGATGTTCCATTTTTGTCAATTGAGGTGTATATCTCACAAATTTATTTCATATGTTAAATATTCAATATATTATAAAATATATGGGTCATTATATTGTCACACAAAGATTCTATCGACAATAGTGAAGTGCCGATATTGAAAATTTTCAATCGATTGGATCAAATCGACTTAAATCAAAGGCCAAATTATACAACTTTAAAAAAATATATATATTGTCCAACCCCATCGATTATTCATGGAGCTCGATGGCATTTTAGAATGATTAATCACTCAATTAATTAGCCACTACTCTCATCCAACTTAGTGGATTAATTGGCCACTATCCTAATTTTTTATGAAGAGATTAGGTGGTCATTGATCGATCAATTAAGAAGGAGGTAGTGGCACTGAATAAAGGAAATCATGGGCAAGCGTTACATGCAATTGAATACAAGTGTTACGGAATGACAAAGGATGTCTTTAGCCATGAAGAAGCTATCCGTGCAATAGATATCGTACCACATCTCATTCCACAAAATTATTTTTCGTTTTTTAGATGTTCTTTGTATTTCTCTCTACTTTTTTGTAGAATTATGTAATTTGATTGTCAATTAATAACAACTCGTTTGCACCTTTTTTTTTTTTTATTGATTCATATTCTCTTTTTTACAAATTTATTATATACCACCGGGGATTCGCATCGAGTCACCCATGAACCCATCTATTTTTCTGACGAAAAGTTTTAGGCTGAAAATTATTTTCCAAGGCAAAGAAGTTGATGTGCTATATAGTGTATGCAATAAATTGTTGAATGGATTGTTGATGTCATTGATAGGAAAATAACTTTTAATAGTTGATGTATGGATACGTTGTCTCTACACGATGAAATATAGTCGGTCGAATTGTTTAAACTGTGGATTTGGCTAGACTTAGCCATTGATTGACAAGTCGGTTGATAATTTGTGTAACA